TTTTTTTTTTTTTTTTTAGAACTTCGTGTATTTAAAAAAAAAATCAAAACCATAAAAAGCAAATAAAAAAAGGAAAAAAAGACACACACACACAGAATTGGGCCTGTAGCAGATTGCATGAGTCTGGCGTCCGAAGTTACCGTACGACATGGTTCGTCCGCCTCCGTTTCTATTAGGGCTGGGAGGCTGGCCCAACCCTGGTGCTTGTCACTGCTATGTGGTCCAAGTTGCCCTCAATACTGGTAGGGTGATGGTCCTCAGTGCTGGTCACACTGAGGTAGGATAGTAGGGACAAAGGGTGCCTCCCAGCCGTGTTGGCTGAAGACCTTACTGATACAGACTGGGAGCATCCAGCTGACTATCTCAGTTGGTTGGCATCGAGAGTGCCATAGGCGGGGATTGAACCCACAACCTCCTGAATGTCACTTGTGTGCCTAATCAACTGAGCTAGGCAGCTGGACGGAGCCCAGATTCTTTGATCGCAAGAGGGAAAAAAAAGAAAAGAAAAAAAAAACCTGAAAAACGAATAGCAAGCTACTGAGGGTTGTGCCGGCCCACTCGCGGCCAGGAAAAATGGCATTTCAAGCTCTAAACTACTAGCAGTGTATCCACCTATGTTCTACCAGATTCATGCTCGTTTTGAACATTTGGTCAGAGTGGAGTCCACAGCTCTCGTGGCAAAGGTAAGTACGTTTTTTTTTCCTTTTCTTTTCTTAGCAAGCCCTGCCAACGAGGCATGGCAGTCCGTTCTAGATTTTGTTACTTGGTAACAAACAGCAGAATGCTTGAATACTGTATTTCTGGGAAGATGCAGTAGAAGAGAAAAAAAGAAAAAACACAGACCCAAATCGCCCGCCCAAACCCATATCGCCCGCCCCCAGTTTTCAACGGGGAAAAACTCTATCCCTCAAAAGGGAAACAATGGACACTTGCCAACAATCATGCACAGACACACACACACACACGCACTTACAAACACACTCATACACAAACACACGCGCATACATTCATATTCATGCACAAACACACTCTCATGCGCAGGCACACACATACACACATACGTGCACACACAGCACACCTACACACACATAACTGGGGCGTTGGGGGTTGGGGGATG